AAGATGACCGTGAAACACGCTCTTTTCAAACATTAAAGGATAATTCAATTTCAATTCATAATCAATTGTTTAATATTTTTCGTTTGAAAAAATCAAAACTAAATAGTATTAATTTAGTTTCTGATACTGTATTTACTGAAATACAATATTAATTAAACAAACCATCACAAATGATTATGCCAAAAGCAAAAATAGCATTCAGCATCAAAATTTACAATAATATTCTGAAAATTTATTGGCTTATGAAACCGTCGTTGGATCCTGGCGGTGAGGTATTGGTCAAGCAAGCTTTTAGCTTTGTTTGCTTGGTCTGAAATATGAAGGAAGGTGTCAAGATGTACCATCTATATATGTTATATAGATGAACGATCCTTCTTCTTCGTTTTTCTCCTCTATCTATCTGTTAGAAATATAGTTAGCTGTTGTATTTTACTATCGAAGGTGGTGATTCATTCATATTTAGTGATTTAACATTGACCTTTTAATATTAAGCTGTTGTTGTTATTGTGCTTGCTTGTTTCTTTTTTTCTTTCTGTTTCTGGAAGGTTTTACTGCTTGTTATATTGTTTAAATAAAAGATATACGAAACCTGACATTGAGAATTAATTCTATAAAAGTGGCAACAAAGCGTTGTTGAAACCTAATGAATAGTATTGGATTCATTATAACGCATTCCTAGTTATTTAAACTTGCCAACACGTTACAAAATAAAAAGAAAGAAAGCGAGACAATATTCTTGATGAGATACAATCAAACAGAGACAAAGAAAAAAAGAAAAACAAAACATGACCTTGCTTTTTTTCAGTATTTATTTGTTTACACATTCTATAAACGAAAAAAATGGCAACAAAGTTAGAAAAATATTACAAAAATGTTTTTCTTTTCGTTGTTTTCAATGTACTTTATTTTGTTAATCTATTTTCCTTTTGATATTTGCATTTTCGGAAAAATACCCATATAATCATGTAGTCATGAATCAGTACAAACGTCATCGACAATTTTTTTTTTCTCGCATGATAACCTTCCATATTGGCAAAGGTATCAGCCATATACTTGAATAATAGTGTCATTTTTTTATTTTTATTTAAGAAAAAGAAAAAAAATGGATTCTGTCGTTCATATATTGCTTGAGATAAATCGACCTATGTAGTCTATCGATATGCGAAGGAAGACAAATATAAGAAACAATTAGTTTAACTAGAGTGAGAGTGATTGTATATTCACATTGCTAACATTACTTATCCTATTCTTATATTAGAAATATTTATGTATATGCGCAAGTAAAATTTAATAAACTAATGTCAGATATGTATTAATCACTTCTATGTGTTATTGAATTCAGATATGAGGCAACAATCAATAGAGACATAAATATTTGTTCTATAGAATAAAAGTGAATAACATTTCTTTATTTTTGTACTTTGTTCATTTCTTACGTATTTCTCTATTGTTCTCATATCTTTGTCATATGTTCCTTGTTGCTTTTGTTTTCATTCCTTCGATGAATAATATCATGCTTTTGCATAATAATTCTCAAGAAACATGACAAAGTATAGTGACATATCTACGATCTAGAAATCGATAGTTCGAATAAAGTTCACAGAATTCAACATACTACATATGTGACTTGACAATCCGTAACTTCAAACTATTATAAAATTTAAGGAAATAGAGTGAAAATTGGTGTGTGAATGTGGATGTTGTTCTGTTTTTCAATTTTTCACAGCCATTAGATATCATTGATTCATCGCATTCAAGATTTTTCAGCTGTTTCAAAAATTCTATCTGAACACATTATGTTTGAAATTAATCATTTGATTAGCGACTCAAGATCAACTGGCAACGTTCAAACAAACAACAAAATACTTTATTCATTTCACACCTGATTATGGCAATCACTATGATGTTTCATGTGATTTTCATACCTGTTCGAGGATAGTCACCAGTAGTAATAATTTGTCAATAAATTACAAAATGAAATCCATCGATCGACTCTTCTGAACAATAAAGTTCTTATATGGTCGATCGCATAAGTCATGATCTTAAAGAAATCTAGCGTTAAACAACGCACTGCTAGCATTTCTCATATAACTGTAAGATCAAACAATTATTGTTTTTTTTTTTACTCATAAGAGAAAATTTTCGAAATTTAAATGTAATTCTCTCGTGTATACAAATATTAGTGTATACTTTTTCGTCCTAACAAAACAAAACGCAGAAGAAGACAAAAAAAGAGAAAAAACATCGAAAGAAAGAAATAAAGGTGATGAAGAGTGTATTAATGAGAAAAAAAACTATCTACCTGATGAACATGTCATACTTCATCAATTTACATGAATAAACGTAAGTAGGAAAAAAAACCAAGTAACGTGGTCAACGATAAATACAAAACAAAATCGTTTGCTACCAATTAAAACAAAACTAGCATATCAGTATCATTTATTAGGTGAGTGTATTTAAATTTTTATATTGTTAAGCTAGCGGTAAAATAAAAATTAAATATCCAGAGTAGTTACAAAGAACAATAATGATTGGACATGAAAATGAGTAGAGGTATCATTTTACTGTTGATCTAAAATAATCATAAATTATCAGTAATATATATTTATTTTTAAATATATACTATTCGTACTTAGTTTATAATGTATAAAATTATAAATTAAATTACATTAAATTATACTATTTCTTTTTTATATGTCATCAGAGTCAGACGAGCTAGAAAAAAAATGTGTGAAAACATATTGAAATTTCAACAAAAATGAAATCATAAAAAGTACACATGTAAACGTGCTCATAACGCCTTCGATTTTTCATTCGATATAAATTTCTTCCGAAACTTCGATGTGTTGTGTACATGTAAAAATAGACACTCTTCATGATATTATTATGGATAAAATACGACGCATATTTACGTATTTTGTTTTTGCTATTCGTCTGTGTGAGATAAAATATCAAAAGTGAGTAGAATTATTGTATTTTATGTATCATTTAATAAAGTATAAATTAAGTTTCTAGTATTTATATTTAGAATAAATTAAATTGCCTATAATTTAAATTTATTTTTAATTAACAGGAAAATACTACAAGTTCAAAAAGCTATTTCAATCATGACGAACTGACTCAAAACCGAAAATATTGATCGTCGAACGAAAGGTCTTTATTCACAGAATAAGACAAACATCATGGTTTTTCAAATACAACATACAGGAAAACTTTTCGCCAAAGACTCTATTTAGTCTTCTGTATGAGCATCTGTCAAATAGTGTAGTGTTCACATGAGTTTCATCAGTTGACATATTTGTCTTTCTAGAAAAGAATCTCTTGAAAGCTAGCACGAGTAAAAAAAAAAGAAGGCTTCATGAGAAGAGCATTTATGTCGATGAAATCGATCTAATGTCGTCGTATTCATAAGTTATAACCTAACTACAAATCAATCGAGAGTAGTGATATGAGCACCATTCATACTCATTGCATTTCTTTCTAGGACAAAACTTACAGAGATTATCTACTATAACATCATTATGTGAATGATATTTTGGGAGAGAAGATTTTAATGTTTCATTCTCGCTTGGAAGCTGTGTATTGTTTTCTAACCGGTCTCTGTAGTGCAATAATATCTAATGACTACCATGTAACGAAGGCGGCAGAAAGAATGACAGTCTTAGTATTTTTACAATAATTCCTTCAATTTTGCCTCCTTTCAGACGAAACTTGTTTCCTAGATCTACTCTACAATTCTATGCTAGATGTGTGTTGAAAGCTTTTCTGAGGAAATTTGATGACTAAAATTCAGCTGGAATGTTCAATATGCCAAGAAGAGCAAACTTTCGAAGACTGTTCGAAAATAAACTTAAGAATATCTTTGATAACAGTAGAGTGTTGATGTCGTTATAGGTGTTACTATGCATCTTCTCTTCTGGCACATCTATATCCTATCCAGTGCGATGGCATTCAAGTCATAATAGAGATGAAAAGCAAAGGAAAGTCGGAAAGAATAAGAATACATCAAAAAGTGTCCGGGCATTCCAGGCTGCTCTCACAATTTCTTAAAATCGATTTTGGTTTAGGCATATGCGCATTGTATTGAAACCTTCAGAGAATATTGAGACAGTAGTGAAAAGCCAGTGATAAAATTTTCAGTTCTATAACATAATATCTGTGGAAGACATTCAACAAACAATGGCTTATAATGTAGCTCAAATTCTCTGTGGGTCTTCATTCTATACATTGAATTCTTTTTGTATTAACGAGAATGTCAGAATGCATGGCATGGCAGTTTCTTTTTCATAAATTTTTACTTTTTTAAGACGGAGAAAATCGATAAGCGGGTCAACAACTAAAAGCATTCCCACATTTTTGACGGCTTTTTTAGTTCTTGAACTTGTCATGTGTTTTCTCCACTTCAAAGCTGGCAAGTAAGAAAAGGTTCTGTACGGCAGTTCATCTTGACATGCTGTTTCCAATAAAAATATCAAATGTACAGAATAAAGGCTCACAGAGAATTTTAAATTACCCAATTAGCCATTCTTGGCGTTTGTTTGCTGAACATATCCTTCGAACATCATGTTATAGATCTGACAGTTTCAAAATCAGTTCTAAGAAGAATAGGAGTCGTCTGAAGTGTTCAAATACATTTTGAGGCATCTGCATATAGAGTGCTGCCTTAGTCGTCTACACAGCGACTACTTTTTTTTTTTAGAGCATATCAATGGCAAAGCTTTGCATTATTTTACAATTAATTATTTCATTTGTGGTGATCGAGAGAAGTGGAGCTATTTCGAGTCCTGTAGCACCTTTCACCACATACAAACATTCGATCGAACTGCAGAAAAATGTAGCCGATCTCTGGTGGACAGTCGATGACAGTGAACGAGAGGTCACATTCGAATTACACATCAACACAGTAGGCTGGATAGCATTGGGTATTAGTTCAGGTAGATTTTTGTTTCTGTTCAGCTTTCAGCTCTTCATTCACGATCTTACTATATTTAGCGGGTGGCATGAAAGATGCTGACATCGGTGTAGGATGGATTGATGAGACAGGCAGTATATATATTCAAGTAAAAAGAGAACCCATCTATTTTGTACTATAAGATCTAATTTGTCTGTTTCAAGGATCGCTATGCATTCGCCAATGGACGTCCTATGGTTGATAATACCACAATTGATTGGTTTGCTCTTCAAGGTCGTGAAGTAAGCGGATGGACAGCTATTCAATTCAAACGTTTATTAGACACTTGTGACATCATGGATGTTCCAATCAAGGTAATGTTATATATCTTGAAATAGGGAAGTTGCTTCGACTACTGAACGATTAATAGTGAGAATTTCTCTCAAACCTATGTAAAGTCAACTGGAAAATGTTGCAAGTAGAATTGCTATGAGCTGTGCCTAATAACGTACAGTTAGATTGTTTCGATGAGTTTTCTCACGAAAAAAATTAGGAGATGAGGCTCTCACAAAATTGTATGACTAGGTGTTGATAGGATTTAATGGCGATTGAAACACATGAAAATTCTGAATTCGTGAACTTACCAATATCTGGATTCAGGTTTCGGTGTATGGAACTATTGGGTTGAAGTGATGCTACTTCCTAGCTGAAAAGTCATTTGAATCAGACCAGTTTTCCAATGTGCAGACTACTCCACAATCTAGCTTTTTTCGACAGCTTCATCACCTCTGATGAGTGCAAGTTCAGTCTCGCGTAGTGAATACAATTTTTTTTCAGTAGAAACCAATTACTTTGTTCACTTCTATGTATATAATCTATAAATATTTAGTCTGGTACCAATCATCTTATTTTCGCTTATGGTCTGACCGATCCAAGTCCGTCAGGACCAACTGGTGAAATCTCTTACCATAAAAATCGACGTGGTTCACGTGCTCTTTCTCTTCAATCATATGCGGATTCACCATCCGAAGATACATTTGCTGGACTAGACTACTTCGATTTTCGATTAAATAATGTATGTCAAATTCCAGTGTCATATTGAAGTCACTATTTTTTATATGGATTCGATCTTCTCTTTTTAGTATGTCGTTCCATCAGTGGAGACGACTTATCATTGTAAAATATACAAAGCTCCGAGTAATTATTCAATGAAACGACATGCCATTGGTGTACGTATTATTTTCTTAAACTAAGTTTTATTTTTGTGTCATTCTACATAGCATAAGATAATTGTTGATTCAGCCAATGAAGATCTTGTGCATCATATACTGATGTATGAATGTCATCCAACAGCTCAATTTGATGATAATAACTTGCCTGACGATTTGTGTGATGCAATTCATCGACAAACAGCACTGTGTGTACATAATGTTGCCATTCTTTGGGATGTCGGTAGTGATTACGTAAGATGAAAGATATTTAGCACAATAGAACATATAAACAAAAAAGCTATTTAAAATAGATGGTTGCACTTCCAGAAGAAGCTGGCTATCCAGTTGGAGGTGATTTTCCCATCAAATATTATATGGTTAATATACACTATAACAATCCCAATCGACTTTCGGGTATGAAATTCAATTGATATGGAATGAAAATTAACAAATGGTTTTTGATATTTACTTAGATCGTACGGATAGTTCAGGTCTTCGCCTTTACATCGGCAAAGAACTTCGTCAATATGACCTTGGTGTTTTGGCTTTGGGCACTAAACCAAGCCCGGCTGCTCTTGCTATTCCACCGAAAGTTGAACGATTTATTGTTGACTCGTACTGTTCGGCGACTGCTACAATGGTAAATATGACTCTTTGTCTGTGCCTCATCTAAAAAAACTCTTTATGGATACTGCTATAGAATTTTCCTAAAGAGGGCATCACAGTTATTTCTGCTATTCCACATATACATATGCCAGGTATGTTCTAAATAACAAATAGAGGATGGATATGTCGGCAACGACAAAGATTTTTCTAGGTCGAAGAGTATGGACAAAATTGATTCGAAACAAAACAGCTGTACAATATTTATCCGATAGAGGAGCGTTTGAATTTCATTATCAATATGAATATCGTTTACCACAACCCATCAAATTATATAGGGTAAGATATAATCGTATTGCTTTCCATTCGAGTGTCGATGTTTCTTTTGTAGGGTGACGAACTTGCTACAAGATGTATCTACAATACTATGAACAAGAATACAATCACTTTGGTAAGAAAGATTCGATGAGAAACTGCTTTTCGTTACGGAGCAACAGACAACTAGAATTCCGATTGATTTTTTCAGGGTGGTAAAAGTACCAAAGATGAAATGTGTCTTCATGTAATGAAATACTATCCTCGAATGAATAATATGTATGCTTGTTTGATGATGAATAGTCCACAAATATGGAAGTCAATGATGAACATTTCTTCGTTAGTTTATTTACATCGACAATTAGTTCTTGTTTTTATTGACATGTATTTAGATCGTCTTTCGACGATTCTAAATTAAAAGAATGGCTTCTCAATCTGACATGGACACCAGAAAGAGCTGTGCAATGGCAAGAATTCTATAATACTGCATCTCGTGTGCTTGTGTACGGTGCATCACCTAAGAATAAGCACAAGTTTATGTCCAGCTTACCCAAATATCAAGATTTGAAGTCGGCACCTTGCATGAAAGATCAAAGCTTTTATCAAACTACTTCTAGTCATACAACAATGACAAATGAAGCGAAAACATATACTGCACTAATTCACCAAAACATAAAGATTATATTAATAGCAGCAGCTTTTATCTTCATAATATCTGTATTTATTTATTCAATTCAAAAGCCGAAGTTTCATCGATTCACTCGATTTTATCAAGATGATAGCGATAACTGAACTTATTACACATTACATATCTATATACAAACCATATTGTTACGGGCTTACCCTTAGCATTGTTCCACTCTATTTCACTTCATCCAGCTCTTTTCTATTTTCTTCTTGTCTTTCTTTTCTTTTTTTCGTATATAATATTATTATGAACTGATTTCATTCTTTCATCTCTTATATCTTTATTATGGCGACTACATATAGGGTGTGTGGGTGTGGGTTTGGGATTGATATATAGACGAAACATCAACACCCACACACTTCATCTATATATCAATTCCAAACCCATACCCACACCCACACCCTAATGAACAAGTATTGAAATAAACATGCATTTATTATTCTCGAAACACTAATTAAATTTTCAACTGAACAATCACCGCCGCCATGAGGAAAAAGAAATTTCATATTAACAGCCGTCGCCGTCTTGAGCAAAAAATATTAAAAATTTACAGTCATCATCGTCGACGAGCCTACAGATTTGGGCCAGCAGTCATGGAAAATTTTGAAAAATTAAATATTATTAGCAGCCGCCACCGATTAACCCGTCGACTTACACCTCTGGTTGCATCAAACATGCATTTTCTTTGTTGTTATGAGTTCGTTAAATTATTCCACTTGAAAGTGCTTACACTAATGCATGTAAGGAGATAAAACAGAAGAAATCCAAAAGTACAACAAATGAGGTATTTGAATTATATACGAGTGATCCTTTTTATTCTTATTCATTACTGGTAAATTGAAGGAAAGAAAACAAGAAAAAAGTTAGTTAATATGCGAAAAAAGAAACAAAATAATAAAACAACAAAGAATATATTAACAAAAGACAAACCAAACGTCTAGTAAGCGATATGGCGACTTGATGCTATATATAATAGCTTGTTCAGCATATGTACTAATATTCTTTTTTTTTTCGACTTTATACTATGATCAGTTTTACACATCTTTATTACTTGTCGAGGTTGGCATGCTTCCCGTAATATGTTTTACTTGTATCCATGATTGACTTTCGAGTTCACTGACATCCAGTAAACTTGCTAAGAATCTGCTGTCAAATAAAATGTTTCACTACAAATTTGCAGCTTGTTTTCCACCTTGAGAAGTGGTCAATATCGTTCGTAAGGCAGACAGAAATCTGCAACCATAGCTAGATCGAACACTGATAAAGCTATAAGCAAGCTAACATGTCTCTAATTCAAGGAGAAAACAGCGATTATTGATTTTGTGATTTAAAATGAGTTCAAAAATATTTTTTATGAGTTTTTCTAATTTAAAATCATTTTCATGAAAAAAGACTTTGCATAATTTAAAGTAATGTGAGTGATTCTTTTTTCTTAATGCAATAGTGGAGTTATTTGCAATTATTCTTTTATGCAATAATAAGTTGAATTCTAGAATGTTTCGTGATTAATTTACTCGGACTATTCATCATGTCATCGCTAAGAGAACGAATCGATACGCAAGACAAGATAAGAATTTGGACGATATGTGTTTTGACCAGTACACAATAAGACTATTGAGCACCTAATTAGTTATATATGAAAAGGGCATCAAAAAACAAGATCTTGGAGGACCAATTTTAATATATGTAAAATGAGCACCAAAAAATAAGATATTTGAGTACCAAAGTTACGTTTAGATGAAATCAGAATAACATTGGTAGCTTTACAAAAAAGTAGCAACAGCAGATAAATCATAAATACAAGAACAAGCAAATAATTAAATATGAATATAATGAAGAGCAAACAACTCATAATAATAAAACAGACCGAGCTTTTTTTTATCTATCTTCTTCTCGTCGTTCACCTACAAGTTCCGAACACGTTTTATTAGTTAATTAAGACTGTTATTCTTTAAACGAACAAGTCAATATAAAGGTCTAATTTGAGAATAGCCATGTCAGGATGTATAGTTTTATTTCTTTTCTCAATAAGAAACAAAATAAAAGTAAATAATATAAATAGCAATACAATTTTATTATAATTTTTATTTTTTATCATAGTTACTCACGCGACAGAGATTAAATTCGAAAGACCTCGCATTATTGACACTTTTTTCCTACCTATTATTTTTTCATATTACTTTTAGTCGCCGTTCTTTTTCTTTCATTATCACGTACCCTGAAAAAACAGAAAATAAAAATTATAATAATTAAAAATGTATTACTACATATATTATTCTCTTTTACTTTACTCCTTATTGAAGAAAGAAACGATAAAAAAAGAAAAACGTCTATAAATTCTGATATAGCTATTCTCAAACTATATCTTCATGTTGATTTGTTCAATTTCAACAATTGATTGACCACTTTTATATTATTCTTTTCATTGCATGCTCAATTGTCTCATTGTTTGCTGCTGTTTTCACACATTATTAATTTGATGGTTAATTGTCTTTTTTGTGATGCCCAATAAGTCATTTTTTCCTCCGTTCCCGTAATGAGATGAATTAGCTGTACATATCAACCATGTCACACTGTAAGTAAAATTACCAGGTGGATAATATTCATCGGAATGATGTATATGAAACCGATAAATTAACGAGGAATATGAGAGATATCAAAGATTTGTTTTACGACTTATAAATAAATGTAATAAACTCCCCCCTTAATAGAAGATTTTGGGTCTTCTATCATGTCTCAGCGTAAAATTTTCCAGTGGGGTCTTGTATTATGTCCCATATTTTTTCCCAATTTTTAATTAAAAGGGTTTTCCAGAAAATCGATGCGGCTTTTAAGATTTTCACTAGGGTTTTGAGGCTTTTAAAGAGTTAGGGATAATTTTGAACTCACTTTCTTAAGATTCTCGGCTTAAAACCCTAAAAAATAGGTATATTTTCAGAGAATTCCATAATTAAAGCTCCTAATCAGCAAAAAATTAATTAATTAAAGGAAGGTCTTCTATTGCGAGGAAGGCTGAGAATATTTGTTCAGGTAGACTATCTAATGACACAGGAGTATGATGACCCATGTAAACACTTTGAATTAAGAATCGGATTAAAAACTGATGATAATGGCACTATTATGATTTGGCTTTAATCAGGTTTTTCAGCTTTAAAAGACAAGTTTTATTTGATTTTGATTTTTTTTCAATCTATTTTAATCGATTATTATAGTAGTTGTAGGTAATCAATTAAAATAGATTGTAAAAAAACCAGAATCAAATAAAATTTGTCTTTTCAAGCGTCAAAACTTGATTAAAATCAGATTATAATAGTGCCATTATAATCAATTTTTAATCTGACTCTTCATTCAATTCTTTTTTACATGGAAAATGTAATTATTACTATGAGCAAAATGACGAGATGACAAGAAAAGAACATGTAAAAGAGAAAAGAAAAGGAAGAAAGAATAGACAGGGAAAGAAGAAAACAAGAAAGTCAGAGAAAGATAACCAGAGGGAAGGAGAGATGAGACAAAGGAAACAGCAGAACATTTAAAGTATGGCATGAAAAGAAAAAAGAAAGACAAATAGAAGAGAAAAGTAACAACATCGGAAAAATTAGTTTTCGTCAGTTTTGCGAATGCCCTTTCTTGTTTTATATTGATACATGACTGAGAGTCACGTCAACATATATCACTGATGCTTCTGTTTCAGTCACCTTACATATCAGAGACGAATAAAATATCTCACTCCTTGTTATTCTCTGCTTCAAAACTGTGTTTTGCTGCAATAAACAGTAGTTTTAGACAATATAAACTGTTTTAAATGACGAAGTCTCATTTCTTGAACTACCTAGATAGTAGACTGCGTTTACAAAAACTCACTTGTTTAGGAGACAATATACGATTAAATGTTAGTTACTTCTGCACTTTATCCAACAAGATTTTCTCATAGAATCTAGAATATATTTCTAGGAAGGAAACCAGTTTAACTTTGTTTCGTATTTTGACACTACTCTTCTCATTTTGTTTCAGTTAACAATTTTAGTCATTCTTCCATCTTTGATCAATTGACTATTATTTATGCAGTTGTTGAAACATTTTCACAGGTACTGGCCGAAAATTAGAAGTGCTTCTTCAATTATAAAATTCTAGTTGTTATCCCCTCCGGTAGGCTTTTTAGGCTTAAGTTCATGAATGAAATATTGTACTTCACAAATATTTTCAGATCTTATTTTCTGATCACACAGAAATCATGTAGTCAAGATCTTGCTGTAGTTTACAACCATTTGAGCATCATGTTTAACAAGATAGTACAGAGTCTGCATTGAAAACATTTTTTTTCTACTCATCGAAGAATTCTTCTACTATTAGTTTTTATGAAGTTAAGTGAGTACTTTACACAGCTAATTATTGAAGAATATGGAGACATAAGTTCTACGTATGAGAGATTCTTTCAAAAAATTGTTTTAAATTTCTTCCTTTTCTTAACTGTATGTTTGGTCTCGTCTATCAATGTTGTCTTTGTTGTTGCGTGATGCCAAATCATAGCTACTGGGTGGATATGGGCGTGAGGGTGTGGATGTGGATGTGGAGTGTGAGTATGGATCAAGGAAACACTCATACCCACATCCCACACACACACCCTTAATCATAATGCCCAACCATTTTTTGATCCTAATTACAACACAACTACATTTTCCTCTTAGTCATGATATCCAGTTATTTGTTCATCCAAAAAACAACACTCA